AAAATTGGCTCCAGTGGTTGCGATGAACAAGGTCCATCCATCTTGAACCCTCTGTAGCCTTGTTATTTCCTCTTTTTGATAAGGGATTAGAAATTTATTTGGGATCCTGCCAAAAACTTGTAAACTAAAATCATATGCCTTCCATAAAAGCTGTAGCACCATTTCATAATATGGGGTCACTACCTTCTTAGGGGAAGCGGGTAAATGTAACCAATAAATGGGTCCCCCTTGCCAAAAAACGCCAGTAGGTGAAAATTGTGAAGAAAAAACCATGAAATAAAAAGGGCAAGCATAATCGAGGCAGCGGAGATGTGCTCGCTCAAGGGCATTAAGCAAGGCATCAAGGGCTTCTTTTGCTGCTAGAGTCATGATCCTGGAGGATGCAGGGGAAGGGTCCCCAGGCAGCATGTCATAAAGGGGCTTAAGAGCTCCCGTAGAAATGGGAAGGGAAGAGCGGATCCACTGAATGTCTCCCAATAATTTCTGCCAATCATGGAGGGTCCGCAAATGGGAGCAGTCCAACTGCAGCCTCAAATGGGGGTAGGGAAATATAACTTGGGGTAGCAATTCCCGCAATCAACTCTCTTATCTGAGTATCATCATGAGTGAGATCCAGTACTGACTGTATTTCAGATCTATTCAGCTATGGGTGCTGATTTTGCCTTTAAAGACCTGATCACCCTGTTGTATTGTGAATTAGCATTTTCAAAAGCCAAAGATTCAATTAATATTTGTCTAACTTCTGGATCTGAGACCATTCTATTTACAGCTGGAGTCAATCTTTGTAGAAAATCAGGAAGGCTTCTTTTGGACCTTGTATAATTTTAGTAAATTACTCAGTTCACTTTCTTGATTCCTCAACCATGTCCCAAGTATTCTAAGCTGCTGTACAGCCAAGGTGTGATCATCAAACATGAACTGTCTTTTCAAGTCAGCATACTGGCCTTCATTGAGAAGCTGGTCTTGGGAAATTTCAATATCTCTAGCCCTACTTTATTGTTCTATAAACAATACCCTAACTTTTTCTCTCTGCTATGCTTTACATATAACTGGGGACTAGTTGTAATATAAATGATTTCAATGTTTCTAATATCAATACCAAGTACATTACTTTTACAATATAAAATCTGGCTGTCAGCAAGCTACATCCTGTACATAATGCATGGAGGTACAGCTTTAGTGCCTCATCAATTTAGCATTTTGAATCCTATCCTTTGTAAACTTTATTTTCAGTACAGGACAGGAATTATCATACAAAATCCATCCTAATCTGAAACATGTTGGAGCCCTGTTGTTGCTTCCTTTGTAGGCCCACTCCATCTGATCACCTTTAATCAAGATGGCAGAGAAGTTACATGACCTCCCTCTTCCCCAACCTTAGTCTGATGGAGGAGGGTTATCTGTCTGTGTTACTTTCATTAGTTAATAAAGAGACTGCTTTGGCCTTTTTGATAGGCCAGTCCTTAGGTGGGTGGAGTAGACAGAACAGAATTGTGGGAGAAAGAAAGCAGAGGCAGGCAGACGCCATGACTCTCCTCTCCGAGATAGCCGCAGGTTAGAATCCTCCTGGTAAGCCATCACCTCGTGGTGCTACACAGATTATTAGAAATGGGTTAGATCAATATGTAAGAGTTAGCCAATAAAAGGCTACAGATAATGGGCCAGGCAGTGTTTAAAAGAACACAGTTTCCATGTAATTATTTCGGATAAAGCTAGCCGGGAGCCAGGCAGCAGGGACACAGCCCGCCGCTCCTTTTACATTAGTCCAAATGTCATCTGCCCACATGGCTGTACTTAGACAAACCATGTGTTGTTTCCCAGAACAGCTCCAATTCAGAGTTACAAGTTTTACGTTAACTTTTTGTTACAGATTTTTAATCATACCCAATTCCCTTAGCTGTTTTTATAAAGTAGAACATCATAAAACAACATTAATATTTTTTATACCCAAATGACATATAGATCTCTGTTATTACATCAGTGGCCAGAGAGCCCAGAGGCAAATTCTGAGCTCAGGTGGCTAGTTGCAACAGTAACAACTGAGCTATCACCAAGACACATGGAACATAGTGAACCCATGAATTCAAGACCAGTCAGAAGCAAACATGTAGTGACCACATATATTTATACATTTAATTGAGCATGACAAAATTTTGTGTGACTCCTTGTTCTCAAGAAGACTTACAGACACAGATACATACATACATACAAATAGACAAAAGTTTAGAAGGGAAACAGACTGTGTTACAAATTATATAAATTTTAAACCATGTCAGATGAGCAATTTACAATCCTAAGAGCTAACAGTATAATTTTAAACTATAAAACAGAGTGCAAAGAAATCACAGGGATAAAAGGTTTTTATGAGTGGGGAAGTAGAGCCTTAGAGGTAAGGGACTTTGCAAGTGTAGCAGAGCAAGTTCAGCTATAAGATATTTGGGCATCATCTATTTGTGACAGTAGCATTACCAATTTGTGAGAAACCATTTGTTAATGTTGGCTATTGAATTGTATTAATATAATTACAAGCTGTTATAATACAATCTGAATTCAGGGAGAAAGAGAAAGAGAGAGAGAGAAAGTTGTGAGACCCCCCAGACTTCTGTAAGCAGGTTGCAGGAGTCAGATTGTTATGCCCAGATCATGGAATCTCCCAAAACCAACTAGGAGACCGAGTCCTGTATGCGAAAGTATAGAGCCTTTATTTTACATAAGTTTGCAAACTTGGACTCTCTATGTGTCCAGCTATTGGAGTGATCAGAGAGCCCCGAGCTCAGTTACGGTTGAGTTTTTATAGTTTTAGAGGTGGGGGTGAGGGATTTCTAAGGTTCAGGACCCCTGATTGGCTGACATTTGTCTAGGAGTGTCCTGGTGAAAAGCAATGGGTGTGTGCTGGCAGGTGATCCTATCTACAAGGGTTGGAAGGGTAGGAGTTTCCTTTAAATGGTCTGCTCCTGGGTGGTGCCTGGGTAGTCTCAGTTTGTGGTCTTTGTTGGAAACAGGTATTGCTGTAGGGTAAACTGAGACCCAGGGGCCTCTATTGAGCTTGTCATAGTTGGGTCCTACAAGACAAGCACACATGTGCCCACATGGATGGTAATGCCGGGCAGATGGAAGCAACTAAAACATTGGACTCTAGAATTTAGAGTCAAATTGATAGACAAATGATCCATCCATACCTTATTGAGGGTTAGCTCAGTAGACACTGCAAGCAAGTGTGGGACCCAAAACAGCTTGACCACATGGGCCCAGAACAACTTGGCCACAAAGCTGCCACGACACTTAATAAAAAAAAAAACAGCTAATAAGTAGGTTTGAGTTTCAGTTTATTGCCAGGCTACACTGGGTTCCAGGGAATGCCGTAAGCCAACATCACCCACGGATAAGACCATCAGATGTTCCTGAGCCCAGGACTCACCCACTCCCATTTTGCTAAGACCCCTATGTAATGGATTAATTAAAAACTCTGCAGATCCCAAGTGGCTGCAGCGGACAGCAGGCCATGAGACCACGCCGCAGGTCCCCAAGTGGAGGTAGGCAGCGGGCCCCAGAGCAGTCAGTCCCAGGCAGGGATGGCACACAAGACCACGCTGCAGATTTCCAAAGGTGGTGGGTGAGAGACAGAGGCATGGATAGGCACACCATGCAGAGTGAGGTTGGATATTTATTTAGTGGGTTATAGAGAGGGTAGGGAGAAGAGGTAAGGGAAGAGAGAGAGAGAGAGAGAGATCTGAGAGAGAAGAGACAGAAGCTGCCTCTTGGAGAGGGAGAGATGAAAAAGGAAGAAACTCAGGCTGCAAGCAGGAAGGAAGATCTGCCTGCCTCAGTGTCTTTTAAAGAGACAGAACAGATCATTATATTCCCATCTCTTTTTTATAATAAAAAGGCGAGAGGTTAGGCACTACAGGTTAAAGGAATTGGGGTGGCAGATTCTCAAGACTGCTTCCTGCTTATTTATGGGCATCATCTTTCATGGGGGGGGGAACCTGAGAAAGCAGGGTGCTGGTCACATACTGGTGTAGCTGGTCTGTTTGTTCCTGTCTGGTGTTTGTGGTATGGAAATGTCTGGTGTCTTTTACATCTGTTTAATGTATTGGCAGAACAGAGGACAAAGTTAAGTTAAAGAAAAAAAATTTAGGATCAGGGAATTGAGAGGGGTGTATCTGACCTGTTTAAAGTGGATCCTTCAATTCGGCTCCCTGGAACTCACAAGAATTCTTTGGATTTGTGAAAACAGAAGTTTTAGACATATACATTGTATAAACAGTAACATATTTATGTCAGAATGACTATGACATGTTTTTGCACATTGAAAAGTATCTTTAAGACTATGGAAGGCAGCGTGAGAGAGAAATTTGGTAGTGTGCACTCGTCCTCATACCTTTATAACTTGCAGGTACACACCTTAATAACTGTATTTGTAATTTACTGAAACTTGTTTTGTGAGGTTGTCCTTTTAAACTGACAAAACCTCTCAGCTGTCAAACTGCATCAGAGACCTTTGAGAAGGATAAAATTTTACTTGAATTATTGATTAAAAAATGACAGAGAATTTACTTGCTTGGCACCTAGAGTTACTCCTCAGTGTCCTCCGTGGTCACTGAAGGTCGTATTTGCCTTCTGCTGTTTAGAGCAGGGCCTGCCAGGCTCCAGAAGATCCTGCGGGCTAAGAAATCTGTAGAAGACAAGCCTACCTCGACCTGATCAGCTAGGCTGTGGATTCCAGTGATTCTGTGCATGTCTGGAGATCTTCAGTTTAGATGAAAGGCAGTTTTTCCCAGTGGTCAGCACTTGGCAGTTGAAGCAAAGTGCAGATGGACGCTGTTTTGTGCCCATTTGTCTTCTATTTTCTTTGGAGGAAGTAGAGTGTAGGTGCTAGGAGCCAAACTGTCTCTTTTTGTTATGAAAAGTTTTTAATAATTAAATATATAAATGCCATATTCCCCAGATCACTGAGCAGTTGAGGGCTGTACAGCTGCAGTATAGAATCTGCCTGGAGAGCTGGGTGTAAGTTTGACTGTACTGGCTCTTAACAGGTAAGATTTGCACTCATAAAAAGACAGAAAGGAAAAACTGCTTGCAATAGAAGGTTAACAGCAGAACTGACAATAGTAGAGAACATCTTAATATATTTTGAATGAGGGTTGGATTAAATATAAAGTATTTTTGTAAGAGACTTAAAAGTACTTACCAGTTTAAAACATAAGACTTAGGTTTTTGTAGTCCAAAACGAGATGCAATGAATAGTGTATCGACAGGTTTATTTGAACAAAGCAACTCTTGAGCAAGTTCTTCAGTCCCAGAAATCAAGGCTGGAGAAGCTGCCCACCTGAACTAAAGCTAGGAGATTATATAGGTGAGGGGTGATGATGTGTCTGCCACAAGTTAGGTTTATGCCCAAGTATGGCCAAAAACTGAGTGCTTAAGCGGGGATGGAGGCAGCTGGCCATTCCAGGGAAGGAAGCTGCAGTAGCCACCAAGAATGTAGAACTGGGCTTTTGGTGCCTTCCCTTTGTTTGTAGACTCTTGAGTGCCTGGGGTTGGAGAAAGAGACAGGAATGCAACTTCCCAGACAGCATGGATGAACTGGAGCTACAGCATTGGTCTAGCTTTGTCTTTGCTCACTTTTCAGCTTTAGCTATTTGGATAAACTAAGTAATACAAGAACCTGAAATATTCTAGGTCTGATCTCCCAAGAAAGTTCTTTTACAAGGTCAGGCATTCAGGCAAGTCCCCCATTCTCTCAGGGACCTGAAGAAATTTCCTGCTTGCTAAAACAGGGAGACAAATTCTTATCTTTGGCAGGAGGAACTTTCCATCCTTCTATTAACATATGACTGGTGCCTATTGTCTATCGGCGAATCAATCCCACACCAGTTATGTTTTACGGGGTTATTTATTTTGGGGGGTAAAACTTACATACACCATAAACTGTCAGGAAGGGAGTCTAGTTGCTGGAGCAGGAGCCGGGAGCAAGCACCAGAACCAAGAGCCGGAACCAAGAGAGCCTGATCCGGATCTGCTTCTCTTTTTAAAAGAGAAATATACCACACCCCAGTGGGCTGGTATTTCAGCAGCTATTGGCTGACGGAGCGGAAGTCGCTCCCTGCTGCACTGTGGGCTCGTATTTCAGCGACTATTGGTTGAGGCAGCGGAAGTTACTCCCACAACACCCCCCCCCTTTTGTTTAAGTAAGAGAGTTCTAAGCCTACTACGAAAGTATATACAGTAAGTACAAACCTACACAATTATATACAATAAATACAAATATCCTATTCTAACTAGCTTAAGTCTTGTATAAGAAATAACTTGGCCACATCATGAAAGGAAAGTAACTACGTTTATATAATCTTCAATCCCATCAAAGATCTGAGAAGGGAAATAATGTTACCTGAGTAATTAGGAAGTGCAATCAAACTTCCAGAACATGTAACAAATCACATAGACAACTGGCTACCTGGGCAAACACTCAAAATCACGTTTGCAGCGTTGAAGCAACCAACTTTGGCTAAGGCCTAACGTAACTGACATACCATTTTCAAAGGCAAGGAACTTTTCAAAACTATCTTATCCTGTCTTGGCAGGATATGACAGTCCTGTTTTATCCATTTACGGATACTCTGTAACTCTGTCAGTAGTTGAGGTATGGGCATTTCTTTACCCAAAGACCAGTTCTGCTAAGAAGAAAGGCTCCAGGTGGAGTGTCTTTGGTGCTCAACATTCTCTCGGGAATAGATCAGTGTTGCCAGGAGCGATTGTGTCTCCCTACCACAGAACTCTGAGTTAGATTAAAGGCCATTTTCTACAGCTCTTTGAAGAGGCTGAAGATTATCTATCTATACTGAATATAATGTCTATGTATCTAAAGAACCAGATTAGTCTAATTATAAATGACAAACTTAGATGACTATTGATCTATATTATTCTCAATATCTATCTAACTTAAAGACTGAAATAGTAAACAACTGTGCAATAAATGGGGACAATATGACCTCCAAATATAAACAATGTGCAAGTATACATTGCAATATGGTAAATATATATATCAATACATAAACAATATATAAGTATCTTAATCAGAGGTAGAAGTGTACAATGCAATATGGTAAAATATACATATATCAATATAATATATATATATGTCAATACATAAAAATGTTTTAAACAGAGGCAGAAGCATGCATGCATAAAATAGTCAACATAATTTAAGTTTGTATCAATATATAAGAATCAATACCAATATATTTGTCTAAAAACAATAACTCACAAGTACAAAGCTATTATCCCATAATCCAATTATCCCTCTTTTTTTTTTTTAAGGATTCTTGCGCTTATAAAATTCCTCCCCCAACCCTCAACCCTATACTAATTATAACCAACCCCTAAATGATGTCCCTAAACCCAAGGACAAACTTTACTGGGAGAGGGGACGTCGTTCTCTAGAATTACTTCCAGCTGTCATGGGGGCGACGTTCTTTCTGGGGGATCCTGTGAAAGCAAAATGATGCTTAAATTTCAAGATCAATGTCTTTTAAAATTGCAAATAGTCTCTGAGTATTTTGTGGAGGACTGGCCAGAATGTTGTACAAGATGTGCATCATTTCAGCTAACCACGTTGGAATCGTCTTGTGCAGCTGGTACTCAAAACAGGTCTTGTAGTAGCGCTATCAGTATCATGATGTCATATCAACCAGGTGGAGTTGTTGTTATAGGGCCCCATCTTCTTCCTGGAAACTTCAAATGTCACTGCAGGAAAAACTTATTGTTCATTGTGGAAAACTTAAACATCAATCATATATATTAATCATATATTAATATCATATATTATATGATTATAATAATATATAATCATATATTAATCATATAGACATATACAGACATATATATTCAATAAAAGACATGATAGATATATTTAATGAAAGGTATGATAGATATGAAGAAAAGTAAAGATGTTTTCCAAACTCATATTCCTTTCTGTCCCATATCATGGCTCTTGACATGAGACAGAAACTCCAGAAACTCTGGGCTTTTCTTTTAACAACAGGCTTGGAATTAGAGAGGGACTGAGCCAGAGTCCAACTCTAAAACCAGCTCTATAAATTTAGAAATATGATTTAGTATATTTTACTTACAGAACCTATTCAGTTTTTTTGATAGTCCTTATTGGGCCATTATTTTCCATCTGTCAGTATTCAGATATCCAGGGTCCCTTGAACTTTTCAAAAATCAGTGTTTTCCTGTGGAGATAAGAACAGAACCCTGCCCCCATTCTATATGTTTTTCTTACCAACTGTATGAATATCATCATTGTGAATGAGCTGTCATTTCTCCTTTCCAAGAGGTTTCTCCTCTTCAAATCGAACCTTTATTAATTTTGATGGTATCCACAATTTTTCTTCTCCTGTGGAAACAAGAGCAAAACCCCTTCCCCAACGTAGCACATCTCCTGGCCTCCATTGAGAGGTCAGCACGTCTTTGAAATAAACAGGTTGGTTTAGTTCAGAAGTTTTTTCCATTATCCAATGCCTCTCTGCTGCTGTTGTTCCTTTCTCATTAGCATTAAGAAAATTCAAGGTTAATAAAGCATTATGCAATCTATTTCTGGGGGTATCTTTCGTCCCTTTCTGTTTATTTAGTATATCCTTTATAGTACGATTTGATCTCTCTATAACTGCTTGACCTGTAGGATTGTATGGTATACCTGTAACATGCTTAATATTATAATAAGCAAAAAATCGTTTCATTTTCCTAGATACATAAGCTGGACCATTATCTGTTTTTATTTGTGCATAATGGCCATAACTTCTAATAAATGTGTGATTACTGAGTCAGCTTTTTCTGAGCTTAAAGCGGTTGCCCACTGAAAGCCTGAATAAGTGTCAATGGTGTGATGTACATATTTTAATTTGCCAAATTCTAGAAAGTGAAACACATCCATCTGCCAAATTTCATTCCTTTTAATACCCTTTGGATTAGTCCCTGCAGGCAATGGTGTTTGGTTATAAAAAGAGCAAGTAGGGCATTTCTTTACAATCTCCTTAGCTTGTTGCCATGTAATAGAAAACTCTTTTTTCAAGCCTTTGCTATTGACATGATGTTTTTTATGAAATTCAAATGTCTCCAGCACACTACCAATCAATAAGTGATCAATATCTGCATTACCTTGTGCTAGAGGACCTGGCAGACCCGTATGGGATTGGATATGCGTTATATACATAGGGCAGAGCCTGTTTCTGATCATGTCTTGTACCTGGATAAACAATGAGGTCAGTTCTGTATCATCAGGTATAAATTCAGCAGTTTCAATATGCAAAATAACTCTTTCTGCATATTGTGAGTCAGTAATTATATTAAGAGGTTCTTTAAAATCCCTAAGCACCATAAGGATGGCATATAATTCTGCCTTCTGGACAGAATCATAAGGACTTTGTTCCACTTTACTCAATTCTTCTGATTTGTAACCTGCTTTCCCTGATTTATTAGCATTGGTATAAAATGTATGGGCTCCGGTTATTGGAGCATCACGGACAATTCGAGGGAGGATCCAAGAAGTTCTCTTTATAAAGTTAAGTCTCTTGCTTTTTGGGTAATTGTTATTGATTTCTCCCAAAAAATTAGCACAAGCTCTTTGCCATGGTTCATTGTCTTCCCACAACTTTTTTATCTCATCAGCAGTGAAAGGCACTATAATTTCTGCTGGGTCTATACCTGCTAATTGACGAAGTCTCAATTTTCCTTTTATAATCAATTCAGAGACTTTTTCCACATAAGTTTTTAATTTTTTACTTGGTTTGTGTGGTAAGAAGATCCATTCTAAAATAGTATCTTCTCTCTGCATTAAAATTCCTGTAGGAGAAATTCTGGAAGGTAATATAACTAGAATGCAACTAAGATTTGGATCCACCCTATCTACATGTGCCTCCTGTAATTTTTCCTCAACCATCATCAGTTCCTTTTCTGCTTCAGCTGTTAACTCTCTGGGACTATTCAAATCTTTGTCACCATCTAAGGTTTTGTTTAAATGAATTATTAGATC